AGCCCGCCGCCCCAGGGTTCATCGACGGCGCCCACCCCGGATCCAGACAGCCGCGGCGCACAGTCGGTCTTTTTCCACCTTCCCAGGTCGGCCCCCGGCTCGCCGCTGCAGCCGCTGCCTGCGTCTCCCAGCCCGAGTTCGAATCCGACCCGCCGACCCAGTCTCCCCCAGCGCCCCGCGCGCAAGGCCCGCAGACGCCTGTTCCAGGAGTGAAGGAGCCTGGGGTGGGGGTGGGGGGCGGAGAGAGGGAGAAGGGGGGGGATCCCCCACCTTCACCTCCACCCCCTACCCCCTGTCCCGGGGTGGTTCCCAGCATCACCCACCCTGACCCACCATCCCACCTGAAGAAGGGTGGTACAGACTATGGCTTGGCCCAGAAGCGAGATGCCAAGGAGAAAAGGCAGATTTCTAGATCATTCTATCCTTTTATTATTCTTTTGTGCCAGTATTGGGGCTTGAATTCAGGGCCTGGGAGCTGTCTCTTCATTTTGTTTGTTTTTTACCACCTGAGCCATTACAGCTTCACTTCTTTGAACCTCCACCCTTCAGATCTCCAGACTCCCGGGGAGCTAAGATGATAAGGACACCCAGATATTTCTGGACTCTCACAGATTTGTCTTCGAGGCCTTTCCATTGGCATCAACCACTTCTCCGGTGAGACACTACATCTGCACCAACATGATCACTGTGGCCTCCTCCCCCATTGGTTTTCCAATCAAGAAATTGCTAGGTTTTCATGTATGTTTTCTCATTATCAAGATGTTTAGCCATGTCTTGTTGGTGGTTGTTGTACATGACTATATAGTGTTCCTAAATAGCAAATAGCCTAACCTTCTGAAGACGCTCTCATCCAGTCTTATTCTCATTATAAATGAATATTTATGCTAAATTTTATCAGCATACTGGGAGATATATATGTGTATATGTATGCATGCACACACACACACACATATATATATATATTTTTAAATCTGTTCATCTGATGGTTTTACCCAATAAATGGATGGAAAAATATTTGTATCCTGAGGTCTTTTTTTAATCATGTAAACTAAGTTTGTACTGTTGAAAATGCTAATTTAGTCCCATACTGGCTGGTGTCATTCTGTAAAGGAAATAAAACTATTTGTAAAGTTTTACTCAAGAAGATCATTTTATTTCAGCTCATTGATAACTATTGAGTTTTACCACAATACATCATACTTTACCAATTCTTTTGTTTTGACATTCTCAGTCTAGTCTCAGTTTGCTTCTTGCTGAAGGATATCTTTTTGGTGTTTGTGCCGGTACTGGGTCTTGAACCCAAGTTTTTTCACCTAGCTTTTTTAAAGCTCAAGACTGGCACTCTACCACTTGAGCCACTAGTCTCCTTCCATATCTTCACAGGTTATAAGTACATCTCATAATTATGTCATCACACTCATCTCAAAATTTTATAAGTGTAATTTTGAGATTATAGACTTACAAGGAGTAATTCCTTACTGATGCTTTCCAGTATTCTCTTTCTATTCTATTAAAATTTTCATTTCAGACAAGGTCTCATTGTACAGCCAGAAACTGTCTGCTGCCTTTCCTCGTCACTTCTGAAATGCTAGGATTACAAGTGAGCACCTACATACACTTGTCTAGAAAACAGGGTTGCTTGAAGAAAACATGAGAGATAGTCAAGGTTAAGTCAGAGGATAACTTGACCCTTTAGAACCACAAAGAAAGAAAGAAAGAGAAAGAATAACACTTATTTTAAGAGATTAAAAAAAGGTTAGGCACTGGTGGCTCACGCCTGTCATCCTGGCTAGTCAGGAGGCTGAGATATGAGGATCTTGGTTCAAAGCCAGCTCAAGCAGAAAAGTCTGTGAGACTCTTATGATCCACCCCAAAACTGGAAGTGGTGCTGTGGTTCAAGTGGTAGAGTGCTTTGCCTTGAGCTGAAGAACTGAGGGACAGCGCCCAGGCCCAGAGTTCAAGCCCCATGACTGGGGGAAAAAAAAAAGTAAAACCAGGAAGAAAAGCCTTTCAGACTCCCATCTCCACGGCATCAAAATGCAGGACTGGAGGTGTGACACAAGTGGTAGAATGCCAGCCAAGAACAAAAAAATGAAGCAAGAAAGTACCTGAGTTCATGCTCTGGTACTGGCACAAAAAGTAAAATAAAAATAAAATGACTTCAGTTTTGGATATGTAACGAACACAAATAGAAACACTAAGAAGTGACAGGCTTGAGATTGTATGGGAGTGGAATAAGATAGTATTAAAAAGTCACTTGAGGGGGCTGGGAAGGTGGCCCAGTGGTAGAGTGCTTGCCTTGCATGCCTGAGGCCCTGGGTTCAATTCCTCAGCACCACATAAGCAAAAAGAAAAAAGCCAGCCGGGCGCTGGTGGCTCATGCCTGTAATCCTAGCTACTCAGGAGGCTGAGATCTGAGGATCAAGGTTCAAAGCCAGCCCGGGCAGGAAAGACCGTGAGACTCCTATCTCCAATA